TCAAGGGCAAAACCACGATTCAACATCTAATACTGCGATACAAAGTTGTACCAATCACGGGTATTTTAGGCAACCTACTTCACTTCCGAAAACATTTCGATTCAGGTACAATATATGTGACTCTGGTAAACGAAGGGATGTTGAGTCGTATAAACACGACGTTTTGTATGTTAATGTAGATTTTCCTTTCTTGTTGTGTAGGAATAAATAACAGAATTTTATAATTTTGGTACCTGAGAATAAAACTGAATTGAACAAACAATTAAAAAAAAAACTATATACTGTAAACGACTATTTTTCGTGGGCTCAATATTTCGCGATTTAGGTCAAAGCTGAAGTTTTGGAATAATTCGCGGGTTGTAATTTTCTCGACGCGGTGGAATCTCAATATAAATTTCAATGTGTTTACATTTTACCGAAATTGTTCGCGGGACCCATTTTTCGCGAATTGTAGGCGATTCGCGAAATTCTCAAAAATAGGTCCTCGCAAAAATCAGATCGTTTACAGCAGTTAGTTTCACGGCCTAAATAGCGCCTATTGACAGAACAACGCGGAAAATATATTCTCAATTTAGCGGTTCAAACCGGTTCGAACCGGTTCGAACCGGTTCGAACCGGTTCGAACCGGTTTGAACCGTTATTTTTTGCGCCCCGGAACTGAACCGGAACTGAACCGAAAGCCGTGAACCCGAACCCGAACCGAACCAATAAAAATATCGGTTCGACACTCTGTCGGCGGCAGTCATATCTACTGGGCCTACAGCCCTTGGTCAAAAAAGGCCAGCGCACTGGAAGGTTATCAAAGGGGCATTGCGATTTCGTGCTTGAACGCGGCCCTAAACAGGTGGGCTATGTTGCACGTTTTGGACTCCCAGGAGACTAGAGAGAAGGAAGTGACGTCAACAACGCTCTTTGGATGTTGATTGGTGGAGTCGCTGGTGACGCTTTGCATGGTGCTGCTAAGATACGCTCATTCACACCTACGTCACTCCCTTCTCCCTAGTCTCCTGGGAGTCCAAAACGTGCAACATAGCCCCCAGGTCCTGCGTCCACACGGTGCATAAGAGCTTTCATGCGCAGCGCGATAGGCTGAGAGACGTTGGGTTTCCGCGTGCTTTGCTGTGTGATGTTGCCGGCACCCTCGTTAAAAAGGTAAAAGGAACCTCTCCTTCTAGGAAAGTGGTGGGCAGGCGAAGGACTGTCGTCATCCCATACCTGCACAAGGTCTTCCTTCCACAATTTAGAGAAAGTAAGAAGTCGGAACAACGTTCCTGTAGTGTTTTCCGCCCCTCAGAAGTTGAGCCGTTCACACATATGCAACCGACTAAGACCGAGAGAGGCCAAACCGGCTTTTAAGCATCTTGCGACGTCTTATAGGACCAGCTCCGCTGCAGCGCATCCGGTCCTAAGACGTTATTGCAAGAGGCTTAAAAACCGGTCTGGTCTCTCTCGGTCTTAGTCGGTTGCATATGTGTGAACGGCGCTTAAAGGGCTATTCCACCGATTCTTTCATTGTCTCCGATTTGCTTGAAATTTTGCTAAACTAACCAACAAACATCGCGAAAATAGTATCCCAAATATTAGGTCAAAATATTGTTTTTTCGCGAAGTTATTGAATTTACAGTTTTGGTCCTCACCGTGTTTTTCAAGCTCGAAGTCTCTACTGGCAACAATGAAAAAGTGACGTCAGTGGAAGGCAGGGGTTCACTCTTTGGGCTGTAGATTTTGTTTTAAACTGATTCGAAGCAGTTTCATGGTGTCAAATGAATGCTTGGGAAGCTCGCTGCAGTACCCGCGCTCCAGCACGGAACAAATGATTGGCATATTCTATTTTTTGGCTGCTTGCTCGACTGGCGAGTCTGCCTGCCACTGACGTCACGGCCCTGCAAAGCGCGCGTATATTTGAATGTTGGTTTTTGCATCATTTTCATTTGCCGATTTCGCAATAACTATTATGAATTTCGCGATTCTAAATAGCATCCCGGAGAGAGTAAAGGCCGGGGAGTCAGAAAATATAGTTAGTTGAGGTAGCTCAAAAAATCGGTGGAGTACTAACACCCCAAAAATGTTTTCTTCTTTTTTTTTTAACGATGCAAGGTGTAGTTACAGGCACGCAAAAAGAAACCGCATCGCAAAAAAAATATATATATATATTTTCACGCGCGCGCGCCCCTTTTTATTTTTGGCGCTTTCTTCTCCCGCTTTTCGCCTCCTCGCTTCTTTTGAGACGTCAAAAATCATGAAATTTAGAAGCTTTCTAGGCGACATTTCTATAACATTTAATAACGGCAATCGTAAAACATGTTTTTTAACGCAATTGCGAACGCACTACGGCCCTTCTTTTTGAAATACCAAAAATCGGAGTCCGGTGTGATGTCGCCTTCTGGAATTGTTTCCTCCCTCGGAAAACATGCCGCCAGGGCAGGCGACGCAAGCTCGCACGGAACAAAACCGGTTTTTCAAGGTCCGCCGGCGCCCTTATCTGCCGCTCCTTTCTTCCTCGCATCGGGTCGCGGTGGCAAAAGCACCGAGTCGCGAAAGAAAGTCGACTCTCAGGACTCCGCAATATTTGACGTCAACGCACCGGCGCGGGTCGCGCGGGAACTTCGAAGTCAGCATTTGGAAATTGTGTTTTTACTTTACAATTACTGGATTCCCAGGTTTCGAATTTTGAGGGTAATGTCCCGGCATCGTATTCAATCGTTTCGGATGATAAACAAAAAAAAAGATTATTATGTGTCACTGCCCCTTTAAGGGCCAAGGCAGAAGGGCACTCAAAGAGCAAGTGCACAAAAAAAGACGCAAAGCCGTTTGTGAGCTGTGTTTAAGGTCCGCCTCTCGTACGGTAAAGTCTATGGACGCTTTACATATGCGCCAAATTACAGCCGCCATTGGTGACCTTCTCTTGTCTTTCCCAGGTGCCCCGCCACTAAAGCGGGCGTTGGCGAGCCTCCACCAAGGCCAGTGCTGTGGAGGAGGACACAGTAGCACCTAAAATGGCAATAACCTGCCCTGCTGGGGTCATGATGAAGCGAAGTGAAATGTAATAAGAGGAAACAAAACTGAAGGTCGGTTATGGCGGCACCCGTGCACAGCGGGGAGGTGCTTAAATGGTATGCTCAGGGAGCACAACTATTCGCTGAGAGCCACGGTCAAAGGCCGTTTAGCGGTGCACTGAGAGCTGTTTGTGCAAGCCGTCCTGCGAGGACACCACGCTTGTAGATAGGCACAACAAAGACAAGATAACGAGGGAAGTGATAAAGGCATTGCACATAGCGGAAAGCGGGTGCAGTGCATCAGCGAGCCGTCGGTGACGCTATCTGTGAAAAATATGTTTTTGACTGCGACAATGTGCGACACTGAAAAACAAACGTGGGGGGGGGGGGGGGAGAGAGAACACGGCACGTGGATGACCGGTGCCCTATGTGATGAGGCAGAAAGGTTGGCGCATGTGTAAATTGCTGCCTTGTGTGTTTACTCTCGATGTTTTCACTAATAAAACCTTTAGTTGCGAGTCAACGCCTGTCCGTCTTGGTTCCTTCTTCTAGTCTTTGTCGATCTGCGCTGTTGGGGAGTTTTAGCAAACCGCGTTTCCCCCTCTGCTAAGCCCTCCGCACCGATGGCCTTGACTCTAGAGTTCTGGGTATCATAGCGGGTTGCAGGGAGCGTTGAGGGACAGCGAAAACCACCAACGAAAACTCCCTATTGTGTTTAGCCACCGCAGCTGCCCGACATCAGAGCCGCACAGGCCGTAGGCTTTCCGGCCTTAACCGAAAACCACCAAAAATGTCGTCCGTCTTACCCTTGCGATCAATTGAAGAAATCAGTTGATTTTGTGATAACAAAATGCTTTGCAGCAGCGGCTGTTAGTGGCCCGTTCCTCGTTTCTTCGACGTCGTGAGCGTAAACAGGGAGTTTCCGTAGATCGTATTCCCTACTTCGCTACATTCTTCGCAAACGAAGACGCCGCGCACTGCGCGTGCGCGCCGCTGGTCTTGACTGCAGAGTTCCGAATATGCTAGCGGGTTGCGGAGATGCGAAGAGCGTCGCGGAACGGAAGAAACGATCTACGAAAACACCCCAACGAAAAGTTTTCCCGCTAAATTTCGGGGGAAAATTGACGTCTCGAGACTTATGCACCAATTCAGTTTCCCGGCTAAATTTGGCGGGAAAATCCGTTTTTAAGAAAACAAGAAACGTAAAACAGAAAGAGTTAAGGAAAAACGTTACGTCCAAGCAGAACATATTTAGAATCATTCATAAAAACAAAATATGGAGAGGTAACAAGAAAATACTACGTGCCCAAACTTTTTAATGAATTGCCTGAATATGTTGCAAAAAACCCGCACAAAACAATTTAAAAATGAAACTAACCAGAATGGATCAATGAGGAGAAAAAAATGTAACCAATTATAAAAAAATTCAAAATTTACAAAGCTGCAGTCGATCCGTGTCTATTATTATAAAGATTTTCATGGTGACTTAATTAGAATTTGTTCCACCTCAGATTGTAAATAAACGTTAAAAGAACCCTTATTAAAAAAAAATTACTTTGAACTTGTTAAACAGAGTTTAACATGTGTACCACTACAATAAAACTATTAGGCAGTGAAATTCTTAACATGAGTGTGTATTTATCTCAGTATGCCGGGTCTTACGCACAAGCCTTATTGGCTTATGTGGGCACAGACTCTAATGTACTAAAAATGTATTAAATTGTTCGCCGAGCCTTGAACCCCCCTCTTAGACTATGATTCCTAGTTAATTATTCATTCTTATTTAATCGATGATAATTGCTTTAGCGTCCGTCTGAAGCAGATCAGCGAAATACAGGGATATCTTAAAATACCTAACACCGAAAACCCCCCGCCGATCGACGTCACCTGCTCTTTTTCGTCTTCCTTCGTGTTTTCCGTTTTCCTACCCCAGTCTCAGGTTTACCATCATGTTCAACTTACACCACCTCGCCTGCACCCTGAATATTTCTTTTTTCCTTTATAAATAAACACCGGAACCTATATACGGCCTGGAGATAAAGACACCGTTCGCGTGTCCCATATAAATTTGGTGAGCACTGCACAAGCAGTTGATTGAGCGCACTCAATATGCAGAATTTCAACTCCGAATCTCCTACTCACCCTCCTATTGGGCAAAGAAGGGAAGTCCTTGACCAGTACGAGCTTCACCAATTCCGGGTCACCCACGAAGAGCACGGGCTTCCCGCCCTCGTACACTCTGAAAGTAAGACCGAAGTACCGGGTATCTCAGTAAAGAAAAGGGAACCTTGTTTTGCGGCCCGTGTAAATAAACTTATAAGCATCGCAGAAAGTTCGAACTCCGTGAGAATGTGACACTGGCGGTTGTGATAGAACGCGAAAGTTTGATAACATGACGTTGCCTATGAGCCGACGTCCAGCTAAGCTATATACTTCGCTTCATCTTAAAGTCCAGACACAGGCGATGCTACAAGCGCGAGCATCGCTAGCATGTGACCCTGAACAGTGCTTGCACTACACGAGCGCTCGTGCATGGCAGGGACGCTGAAAGCCCGGAGCTCTCTCTCGTAGCGTCTACCATAGCCTCCTCTATACTTACAAAGCGGCAGTTCGACGGCATGAGCCATAGAGTGCCCGTTCGCAGATTTTGAGCGCGAGGATCTGGTAGCACAGAGCATCAAACACCCATTTCTCGAAGAACCTGAACGTAAGCGCACAGATTTTGCAGCGGCGAAGACCCAAAACACACTTGTTCGCTTTGGAGAAGTGTGTTTCGGCCTCTCGCCGCAGCGGGGCGCCGGTCACGTGGCTCTCCTCTCATCCGTTGTCTGCCGTTCCACCTTTTCCATTTCGGCGGGCGCTTCTCGTGGCGACCTGCCAGGCTGCTTCTGCATGCTACCACTGATCTCTACTATAGGTGGCTGGATGACGCGTCGAGCGCGCGGGACTGAAGTCACCGGAAGTAAGCGGCTTGTCCCGGAAGTGAGCGCTTGGCAAGCTTTGTAACCCTTCCGAGTGCTGGTTCGAAAAGCGTTGAGGGCGCTGGATTTTCGTTTGTCACCTCAAGAGATCCTGCTTGTTTCGCAGTAAGAGCGCATGCAGACCCGAGAAGTATCAAGGGAAGCCACTCAATGTAAGCATTTTGAGGTTCCAGTTAACCAAGTGTGCACATGTCCCAAGTTTAAATGCCTGATTTTCGGGATTTCATTTGGAGCATGATTATTAAAACCCACTCGAAAACACCGGAAAGTACGGAACAAAACATCAACTGAATGCACTAGGAAGCCCAGCAGACGCCCGACTTCCGGGACAAGCATCAAACTTCCGGTGGCTTCACTTGCGCCTGCTCGGAGAGCGGCTAGGCGCCATCCACACCCCTCTAATAGAGATCTGTGATTGCTACGTTCACATTTAAAGTGAAACGGAGGGTAGTATTGTCAAAATAAGGACTGACATTGTGGACACATGTGGCATTTATACACCCTTCCATAAAAGCGTATAAGGACGCGCTCATAGTTTTTTTTTTTTTTTTGTATTATGCACGCGCACTCGCTGGCCGGCCTAATTGCGAGCCTGGGTTGGCTGGACTGTAATTTAGCACGTGTGAACTGCGATCTTTCTAAACAGTGAAAACGTGTATAGGGCGGCACAAGCGGATATTCCGCTTTAAAATGAGCCGTAAAAATTGGTGCCTGCCCGTATAAAGCTGAAACTTTCACCGAGTGTGCACTGAGCAGGTAATTTTTACCGTGTGAGATTAACAAACTTGCCAAAGTTAACGTCGCGGCACGTTCGCAGACGACCGAATTAACCACGCTATTAACTTGAGACGCCATCTCCCGATTGGCGCCGCGAAAAAAAAAACAACAAAAAAACGACGCACTTTGTTGTCTGCTCGTTGCACCTATCGGTAGATGGCGCAACAAGTTAATAGCTTTGCTAACTTAGTCGTCTGCGAACGCGGCCAACGTTGACGCGGGCAAGTTTGTTGCTGCCGTTTTTACAGAAAGAGAACTAAGCCAAGTACTGTCTAAGCCTTGAAATTTCACAGGGTAAAACTGACCTGTTGAGTGAAAATTCGATGAAAGTTTGAGATTACTATGTGCAGGCACTGATCTTACCGGCTCGTTTTACAGCGGACGATCCGCTTGCGACACCCTACATATCAGTAAAAAAAAAAAAAAAAACACTTGGTACAGTCAGTTACAGGTTACGAAAAGTTCTCGAGGGAAAGGAGGGTTGGGGAGGAGGAAGCAAACGGAATGCTGGAAAGGAGGAAACCTCCTTCTCTCCCCAGCGTTCTGTCTGCTTCCTCCTCCCTAGTTTTTCTTTCCCTCGATAACTTTTCTTAATCTGTAACTGACTATAGCAAGAGGGAGAATATTGCTTTCTTTCTTGATGGCGGTTTTTTTTTTTTTTCACGTTTATAAATGCTTCAGACGCCCACAATATCATTCGTTGTTTTTACGATATTAGGCTTAGGCGGATGTTGGCTCGTAGAAAAATTTCGTGTTTCTCATTTAACTTTTGATTCAGGTAACGTCGTGCTCTCAAACGTTCGCGCTCCATCACAACCGCTAGCCTCACATACACAAGGAGTTAAAACTTTCTGTGATGCGTGGTTTACCTACGCGGGGCTAAAATTCATAGAGTTATTACAATAAACGCTAGAGGCTCACTGGTGCTAGTGTCTACGGGACTTCCGGTTGAAAATTAAAGCAGACAGCATGCAGTCTACATTTCCAGCCTCCCTGTGTATTCCTATGGGAAGACGGCGTGAATTTTGTTTCTTCGCCACTTTTGTTATTCCGGTTGTACCGGATAGTATGTACCTCTATTTATATTGTTAACGTGTAATTGCTTTAGTTACAGCATTTTTTCTTTACCACTGAACGATGTTAAACCTCCCTCTATTTCAGGCCCAAACCTCTGTTGCATGAAAGGTATGTAAAAACGAGCGACGATCCTAAGCAAACTAAAGATCGAAAGGAATCTAGAGTGTGTTCAAGGCTCGCCAGCATTTCGGTGGTGCTTATATATTGCTAATATGTCCGTCCTGTCATTGTATGAAAATGACTCCGTCGTGCATGTTTACGATCGATTAAAAAAACATTCGAACGCAAAAAAAAAAAAAAATAAAGCGCGTGAGCTATGAAAGGTGTGCTTTTTTATATTATTATTTCTTATGTCGGGCAGTTTTTATCGGGCACCTGCCCTCTGGCTTCCCCTATTTGCAAAGATTTGGAGCGTGCGGGTGATGATTTAAACCCATAACAAGCATCTTCGCACATATTCACGAGCAGAAAGGATAAAGCAGTACTTATTTATTGCTATTCTGACTATATATTACCTGGCTTTCAATTTATTTTGATCGTCTGCATGCACAAGGAGTTACTTATCCAGTGTTACTGCGTAGTTCTTGCCATCTCTCTTAGTTTTCCACATGTCCTTCGTTCGTTTGGCACGTATATCCCCATGCTGGAAAGCGTCGACGCCGTGTTCGCGCTAACAGTGTCCGACAGTGCACATGAATACACGTACGAAGTAGTTTTAGCACCGTTTTCATGCCCGGAATTTCAAATAAAAATGCTGTAACTGACCGATTATTTCGTCTGCGTGACTGAGAAATGTTCCAATGTGCCCAGTACGTGCAAATTATTCCCGATACTTGCTCTTACAATCAAGCGCAGAGAGAAAATGCACTCGCTTTTCCCCATAGAAATGCGTTACCGGAAGTCAATTTCTGACTGCTTGCTGTCTGCTTCAAAATGCAACAGCACACTAGCGCCACCAAACCTCTAGCGTTTATTGGAATAACTCTATGCTAAAAACGCAGTTCTTTTATTCTCCAGAACACCTGGTTGAAGAACGCAAACATTAGTGCTTACTATACTAAGGCAAGAAAGACTAATATGTGCGAAACTCACCCAAACAATCTCCCGTATTTGGTGTACCTATCAAGGTCCATTTTATGAAAGGGCTGAAATAAATGGTCAATTAATGTTCGCATGCAGCCGCCAACATCAGAAGTTCCGAATATTAGTTATATTTATGCATTCCTACTGGTGACAGTAGTGCCGTCCTCTAGAGAGTTGTTGTGCGTACCAATTTCAATATATATTAAACTCACAATAATTTTTTTTTAATAGAGTAAAACCATTTTGCCAGCGGAAATGTTTTTTTTAATATTCTGCAATCTCATACGAATACAATTTTTTTTTTTTTTTTTTAGGAGTTGACATTTTGAATGTTATTTTGAAAGGGGAGCTGGCTATTCGGTGCATAATAATTATAATTTATAAGGAAGCTTTACAAGTATAGAACGCAATCGTGGCTCGACAGAACGAGAGGCATATATACTGCATGTTGTTTTTTCTTAAGTATTATTGATATTACCATGCCCTATTACCGGTGAATAAAAAAGGGTGATCAAAACAAAACTTGTAACTGAAGGGCTATCCTTACGTCAATAAATTTATTCATTCATTGTTCAATGCACTTGACACAAAACCATAAAAACATATACTCTTCGAAGCAATTCTCCAACACCTGCTCATAGAGATTCACGGCTACAATAATCTGTATGGCTATTTTTGTTTAACACATTAGATTTTTTTTTCGCTATAAAAGTTATTCATCCGGTAAGTCTCTCCTTCATATTGCTCACGGAACCGGAAAAGTAAAAATAGTTTAAATTTGAGCTCCATTTACTTTCCGTACATTTAGAATAACACGCTCACCTTGAACAATATTCGTTTTGCTGTGGCAAATATGAGTGAAAAGTCTTCCTGGACGACATTCTGCTCTTTCCAGTAATTCCTGTGTCGGGCTGCATACCTTAAAAAAGATCCAAGGAAGAAAAGTAAACTCCTACACGTGCAAAAGGGTTATGTAAAAGGTCCGAATCATAAACAATATACAGCATGAAGCAAAAGGATCGGTGGCTGTTTGAAGGCATCGGATAAATCGGTTTTTGAAAGTAATAAGCGAAGATTTTGTAAATAGGTTGCCGAAAAACATGCAATAAGGTTGTAAATATTTCACTGATCTAACATATCTGCCAAAAAATTAAAATGAAAAAGAAACTTGAAACTTACCTAAAACGTCCGTCTGCCAAAAAAAAAGCGCCTGATTCAAGTTTTTGACCTCTAACTTTTTACTCGGGCAGGTTAATTCAATTAAATTCTTAAATTCTCCTGAGCGGAGACGTTGGATTAAATCCCGGTCCGACCGTGAGCGATCAGTTGGAGGCAATTCTCCTAAGCCGGCAGACCATGACGGCACACCTGGCATCTATAGAGCAAAGGCTAGAGCAGTCAGGCTGCCTCTGCTAACGAGCGTCCGACATCAAGTGAGCAGAGAATGGAAGCGTTTTCTTCGTCCGCCCCAAAACTTGAACAGTGCGAAGCCATTATTGAAAGCTTGAAATGCCAGGTTGCGTCGTTATTAGACAAAGCCGACGATTGAGAGAATTGCAGCCGTCGTAATGATTAAATTGTCTATGGAATTAACGAGGAGGAAAATGAGACATTAGCAACAATCAGAAAAGCCGTAATAGAGCATATTTTTGAATCGAAAATGGGAGTGAAAGTGTCACAACCAGTGATCATTAAATTTTTTTACTGCTGTGAAAAAATGTGAGTGTTGAAAACGCTGCCAAACTTAAGGGAACTAGGATATCGGTATCTGCAGATTATTCCCGTCGCATACAAACAGTCCGAAAGCAGCTGTGTGTGACTGTTAAAGATAACAGAACAGCAGACGACAAAATCTTTCTGCGCTATGATAAGCTTATCATAAACAAAGAGGTCTACCAGTGTACACATGGGACCAAAACAACAACACGGGAGTTAAAGTTCCTACTGCACGTAAAGTTCAGTGATTAGTGAACTAACAGCCGCGTAAGGTTAAATTAATAAATGTGAATGCAAGAAGCTTCGTGAATAAATTTTAAGATTGAGAATGAATATTTCTTGACGTCCCGACGTCATAGTTGTTATTCAGACGTAGTTACAGCCTAATATTCTAAATTCAGAGCTATGCCCAGATGGTTATAACTTATAACTTATAACGTTGTTAGAAAAGACAGGGCTTCCAGGGGAGGGTGCGTAGCTGTTTTTCATAAAACGTGCAGTCTACGCCTGACTTTACATCAATTAACCACAAAGTTTTGCTGAGTAAACAGGTGTATGAAAACGTGTCATTCATTGTATCGGCTTTTTATAGACCAACTAATACACCTAATAATTTGATTAGTGGTCTCAAGAATTACTTTATTCAATACATCAAACACTCCACTCACTTTATTCTCATGGGAGACTTTAATCTAACCTGTATTGATTGGGATGCATATACTGTGTCTAACCAGGACCGTGCGAATGAAGTTTATCTAGTAAAATATCAACCAGGGTTTCTTTTACTAAGCAGATACTTAGTAAAAGGTACAATCTCAGTGTGTGCGAAGGTATTTCTGATCATAATATGGTGCTCGTGTCAATTTTTTCTTAACCAAAGATTGAGAACTTCACCCGTCCTGTTAAGCGTTCCAGATTTTAAAAAATGCTGACGACGTTGCTATTCTTGATTTTTTTTTTTTAGTTGTCTTTTGATACGTTTGTACAATTGTCTGTGGAATGTGGTTCTAACATTGAAGCGTTGTGGTATTGCTTTAAGAATATTGTAAAAAAATGCATATCAAAATATGTGCCTCATCGAAAATTAAAGACTAATGTTTATTATTCTTGAATTAACAGAGATATTCTCCATTGGAAAAGTAGAATTGCCCGAGTGAAGAAGAATTTTAAACACAGTAGGACAGAATCCTGTCGTCAGCTTCTTTCGGATCGAAACCCACAACTTAAACTTCAAAAGCTACAATCAAACTAAAAATATTTTAATATTTTGCTCTGCTCTGTTATGAAAGTGCGCCACAAAAGTTTTGGCGCCACATTTCACCCAAGGGTAAATCAACTACACAAAGTGGTATAACCGTCTGTGAGTTTAATTACTTTTTTAAATCGGTTTTCACTAAGGATGACGGCGTAGTCCCAAGCCTACAAGTTACCGACGTGGATATAATTAGCGACATTTCCATAAGTCAGGAGGGGATTTTTAACTTATTCTTAAATACATTAAACAGAAAGAAAAGGGCTGGGCCGGGTATGATGCCGAAAACTTTTTTTGAAACGATACGAAGAATGTGTATAAAAATATTTATATGTTCTTTTCAATATTTCTCTTGAGCACGCAGTTTTACCAGATGATTGAAGAACAGCAAATATAGTTCCGATGCATAAGGACGGTGACTGGAATACAGCGTGAAATTTTCGACCTATTTCTTTAACTAGCACAGCATCTAAATTTCTAGAGCACATAATCTTTACGCATATTTTAGGGGCGAAGCTCCTTAGGGGCTAGCCATGTTCGTATGTCCGTCCGCCGTCTGGCGTGCCCCTGCTCGTGAGTTCAGCAGCGAGAGCAAGAAAAAAATGAAAAAAAAGATGAAAAAGAGAAAAAAATAGGGGGCTCCGAGATGCCATCCCATTTGTCTTCTTAAAAAAAGAAAAAGAAGAAAACCACACATTCTTCTACTGACATGAATGAAAACGGCACCATCAGCCATGCATCAGCACCCCCTATGACCAAAATCAGTATCAAGAAAAAGAAGAAAAAAAAAGAGTAGGGGGTTCTGAGTTGCCATCCCATCTGTCTTCTTAAAAAAAGAAAAAGAGGAAAACCACACATTCTCCTACTGACATGAATGAAAACAGCACCATCCGCACTATACTTCGTTTCACCTTATTTTGTACCGCAGACAAGGCTAGAAGCGCGAGCTCATAGCGGTGGCAGCTACTCCTAACGCACGAGAGCTTGTGCCGCCAAGATGTGCCCTAGAGCAAGCAGCTCGCACCTGTAGCCTTTCCTGCGGTACATCATAAGGTGAAACAGAGTATACCTATGACCAAAATCAGTATCATCAGCACCACCCGAGCTTCGCTCTAATCAACATCATTCATCACGTGGAGATGCGGTAATTTTTGCATGCCACCTAGACAAACACAATTTCATTTATAGAAATCAGCACGGTTTTAGAAAGGCACTGTCGATCACAACCCAGCTCATTGAATTTCACGTGACTAAGCTGAAACAATTAATGAAAGGGGACAGACTGACGTAATGCACTACTTTTCTAATGCGTTTGACAGGGTATCTCATTCAAACTTGCTGGCAAAGCTTTCAAGCATTCTCAAAGACTCAAAAATCTAAATTCGATAACTGCTTATTTAACAGCCAAAATTCAATGCGTGCACTATGATAAAATTGACTGATAACTATCCGTTACATCGGGAATGCCCCAGGGCTCCGTGCTTGGCCCACTTTTATTTTTGGTTTTCATTAACGATTTATCATTGAACATAAATGTCCCACTTAGAATGTTCGCAAATTATTTCAACATTTATAACAAAATAAGGAGCTACAACGGCAACCTTAAACTACAGAAAGCTTTTGGGGGAATATTGAATTGGTCTAAAACGTGGTAAAGTATAAGATAGCCATGGCTATCTTATATCTTATACTAAAATGGATTGGCTCTTCTTTACACGATACTGTCATGATGCATCATGACAGTCTCGTGTAAAGAAGAGCCGATTCATTTTAGTTACCGGAATGGTAATTCGTCTCAGACGAGTCTAGGAATACAAATATTTGGACATGTTTTTTTGTTTTTTTTAACAGTAAGCTCAATTGGAACCAGCACTTGGAAGCGACTGTTAATAAAGCGAGGGACACTTTGTTCGCGTTGAGAAGGAAAATAAAATTTGCTGATTCAGATACTAAACTTATTGCCTATAACAATTTTGTTAGACCTGTGTTAGAATACGCCAGCTCAGTGTGGTGCACGCAAAATTGTAATTTGAGGCTTGAAAGGAATCAGAAACTAGCTACTCGGGTTATTTTTTATATTTTTCGTACAGGAACCTCATCTACAGAACTGTTTCTCTTGGAGGAGCTTCAGCGTGGAAAACGAAAGCAAAAATTGATAAACTAAAAGTAACGTATAATATTCTTAACGGCACTATTCAAATCGAAAGCTCTAGCTACTTAGAACCGTTATCGAAAGGGTCCTGACGCCTAAACCATACTAGAGAGTTAAAACAATACAGGTTTAAGAATGACCGTTCTAGATATTCCTTCTTTCCTGGACAATTCAAGATTGGAATGAGCTACCAAACGATGTTGTCACCTTAACACCTGTTGAAAATTTCATTACAGCTGTGGAAATTTCACTTACCTCAGTTTTAGAGTGCAGCTCTTAAGCACCCCGTTTCTGCGTTTCGCGGGGTCGCCGTCGCCGTCGGCGTAACCGCCCCGCTAAATTTAGCGGGAAATTGAATTGGTGTTGAGGTCACGTGACGTCAATTTTCTCGCTAAATTTAACGGAGAAACTGAATTTGTTCATGGGTAATGTGACACGAAGTCGTGTGACGTCATTTTTACAGGTAAATTTAGCGGGGAAACTCAGTTGGTGTTGAGGTCACGTGACGTCAATTTCTCCGCTAAAATTAGTGGGGAAACTTAACCCGCTAAATTGAGTGGAAGCAGAAGGAGAGAAGGAGGAGGGGAGGGTACGGAGGAGGGAGAGGGACATACCCTTCCCTCTGTACCCTCCCCTCCAACGCTTCAAGAGCTGCACTCTAGTTTCGCGTTACAGAGATTTGTAAATGTTTTCTCTTTTTTTTTTTTTCCTGTTTCTATTTATGACTACTTTCTGTCGTATAATGTACCCCCTCCTACTAAGGCTCCTTGAGCGAAACCAGTAGTATTTACAAATACACAAATAAATAAGCTTAATGCACGTTCCTCCGCCATGTACGAAATCTTTGCTCTATACGTTCAGAAACCGATCAATGCGGTCCCAGACAGCCAGCAATCATATTGCTTCAGGCCGTACTATATATACTCAGTAGAGAGAAATCGTTTAAGCTTCAATACCAGGCATTGACTAGATTGTGTCACACTATGATGCCTGGAGCGGCATCACCGAGGTGTGTGTTCTACGCATCCTAAAAGGAAATCCCTCGATTTCCACCTTACAAACAAACCGGAGCCCCCCTAGCGGACGCCACCGACGCCGCGCATGCGCGATGGAGGTGTGGCCTAGAAGCTCGCCGTCGCCCATAAACAAACCATTGGAATGAAATGTTGTCGGCGTCGGTGTGTGTCCCCGCGCTTTTTTTCGCAATGCATCGAGGGAACTTTAGTCTTTCTGCACGTGCGACAACCCCGCTGGAGCTCTGCGCGAGTGGAGCACGAGACCACGAGTCGGCACGTGCACTCACATGCACGGCCGTCTGCTTCCGGTGAACTAAAGTTATGGCGGCGTCACGCATGCGCCAAACGCTTAGTGAGATCGGTCTATTGTCCTCTTGAGCAGGGATAGCTTGATGGCTGATTGTAGGTATATACTATATATAGGCTCTTATCTATCTCAATATACTTCGTTTCGCTGATCCTTGCGTGTTTTTGCCGGCTGAGTCTGGATACCACATCCGTTTGACCCAAAAAAATCACTAAAAAAACCCTCCCCCCCCCCCCCCCCCAAAAAAAAAAGAAAAAAAAAAGCGAAGAGAACGGTACTGATTGCTGCAGCGTGCGTCATTCGCTGGTCATGAAAGGACCATCTCGATTATCGGTTGCTCGGTCGCGTGAAATCCTTATGATACTGGTGAGGGCTTTCTGGGCCTCTACCTAAACATACAAGTGTTGGGATTGCTCTTCTCTACCCTGTCTCTCAGCTCCGGAGGGGCGCGACTGCGCGGCTCAGCGCAACTTTGGAGGCGTTTTTCTGGTTAATCCGCGCATAAAATGATCCAACCATTATGATACTCGTGATGGCTGAGTACTACTTAACAAAATGCAAATGTTTTTTTTTTTTTTTTTTTTTTTTCTTTTCTTGTATTTTAAAGCCTCTTCGGCGGCTGATGCAACGAGCTGATGGGAACAATCAGACAGCGTCCAATACGCGCCATCAAGGTGTTCGTCATGTTCTTGTACGTCTTCTATCATCGCTGAACAAATCTTAAACAAAAAAAAAATGCACAGCGACTTGAGCTTTTAACGTTGCTTGGTCGGTCCCACTAGCTCGTAGCGTCGGGTCATTCGTTTTTTTTTCCTTCCGCGTTTGCCGGGTGTGGGCACTGCGCGTGCGCAGAGGCCACATTCGCCCGAGGAGAAGCATCTGCGCTTGCGCAGTGCCGACAGCAGCGCCACCGGAGTGGCGTGACGTCAGAGTCAGTGTCCGAACGCAGACGACGCCACGGTTCGGTGAAACCAGTCAAGCGGAGCCAAAAGTGCATCGTCGCGGAGCTCACCGTTTTCTGCGTCTGCTAGCTAAACCGCAGGACCTTGGCGCATTCACTACAGCGGCATTCACTGAGCATGGTCGGTTTAGCTTCTCAAAATACGAAGGGATGGATAGATGTTAATCAAGCAGTCGACCGACTCACCCGGTGTACGATCTGCGAAGTTGTACGGTCCGAGCAGCTCAATGCGTGATGGGAAACAAACACACTCCGTGAGACTGCGCAGCGTATAGAGTCTGGTCAATGGGAGGCGCGCGGGCAGAGCCAGGGCGTGCACCAGACGCAGAAAGAGGGCTTGGCATGCTCTCTTGGGCAACCAGAAGCCGAAAAGTATCCCCTAGCGGTGGTAGCGAGAAACTGTTTAATTCAAAGGTATATGTTGGTACATGGTTCTAATAAGCGCGTAAGAGTGAAGTGTAGTTACCCTTCATGGTTGAAAATAGAGTGCACGTGATATTTTGATTATGATCATGCAGAAAGATGTGAGAAACGAGTGTGCCGCTCAACTTTGTTTTGCTCGGACAGAGTGTAACCGCTCGGACGGCAGATTCCCGGCCCTCGGCGCTTGGCGTACGCATTATGTCGATCGTTCCGCTAGTCGCCCTCTTTCACCATGACTTGGAATGACCGTGATTGAAACATCACGTGCACCATATTTTTAGTCACAAAGAGTTACTCCGACGTACTTATTAAGTTTCTTTCTCGCGACCACCACCAGGGTATTATTTCCTGCTTCTGGTTGGCCACATTCGAATTTGCAAAGACGGCACGGAACACACCCAGCCCGCTTTCGGTCAATGGTGCCCCCTCATTTGTCTCCTATACTTCCCAACGAATGGCCAAACTCTGCATATACGTCTCTGCCGCTGCCTGTTCCCCATCGAATCGTAGTATCGGTTGCGCACAGACTTAGTAAGAAACGGAGTATTGTATGATAATAGTACCACAGTTACGGCACGTATAAAAAGAAAAACTAGCTCACACTTGTTCGCGTTGACTGGTGCGCGCTCCGTAAGAGGAGCTGACTATTGTGAGCCCCCTCCTCTCATGCAGTAATAGAATGAGTGCATCGCTTACAAGTAGAGCAGGACGAGGGCTGTCGCCACCAAGATGATCCAATCCGGAACGCCCAGGAGCTTCATCTTTCACCCGTCGACGCTTCGTTCGGGGCGCTCGGAAAGGCGCGCGGAATAACCCACTTCTGCCGCCTTCTGAAATGTTTTTAAACTCGATTTAGGCGACGGAAGAGTCACCGCGGAATAAACCGACCGGCTGGTGCAGCACGATAACCCGGTCGAGAGAAACTCTCCGACTGCCGTCGACCAACAATACTATCTAGGAGAAGGGTTGCACCTTCTCCCCCCAAAACGTCATCACCGTCGCCAACGCGTCTCGCGGTCTCGCAACGAGCACGACCCCATGGCACGCGGCAACGCCGAGAGGGAAGCGTCTGCCGTTGCGGCGACTCTGGCCGAGCTTCAGCGCTTTTGCCACTCCGGGAGTGTCGGGGACCCACTAACGATGACGTCGAGCACGGGCCTTGTCTTTTAGGTGGTCGACCGTCAGGGCGCTCAAGGATTGAAGGGGTGTTATCCGCTTGCTACAGGAGCACGAGATAAGGGGTGTCCAAACAGGACACTACAAAACCCGCGACTCCGACAAATCGTGAAAATTGAAGCGGACGCTTCTATTTTTAAGGTCTGTCGGAGTCGTGAAAATGTTTGCAGGAGTCGTGAAAATTTTTACGATCACGACTGCTCTCCTCTTCAGATTGACGTCACACGCCACCTGCGTCTGGCTCACCTCGCCAACGCCCTCGCGTACCGCCGTCGCCTCGGCTCGAAGGCCAAGGAGGTCCGGCTTCAGGTGGATTTGGGACATTCCTGCGTCGAAGGGTGCGTTTCGCCCGCCTCGGATCTGCTTTCTTTGTCGAGATTCACTTTCGTCGTGATGGCGTCCGATGCGGTTCCGTATTGTGAGCGGAGGCCTGCGGAGGCCTTGAGCAATTGACCGACAGCCAACAGAGCGTGTGAGTGGCTCTCCGGACCCACGTGATGAGCAGAGCAAGGCCGCCGTGGAGGAAGCGAGGGGGAGATTTGACGGAGGGAAGTTTCCCCCCGGGAAGAATTGACGGAGGGAAATTTCCCTCCGACAGCCGGAAGCGGATCGCGGCAGAGCGCGGCACGATTTGCCGGAGTCGCGGGTTTTGTAGTGTCCTGTTTGGACACCCCTATAGACGTGAGGACACGCAGCACGGCGAGCGCCGCGACGCGCACTTCCGGTTGAGGCGCGCGTCCCGCCATGTTGGTGAACAGTCTCTGCCCATCTCCTCATTAGCGTGAATGCAGAAGCCTAATTGAAGTTCCTTCTTGGTGTTGGCGAAACACAAGAATGGCGAGCGGCTCCGTTGACTTCGAATCTCAGTACGATCGGAAACGTATTTGCATGGGCCGGAGAAAACTATGCTCACTCTGTTGTTGTTGTTGTTGCAGTTGTTATTGTTGTTGTTGTTTATGCAGCCGTTTTAACGGCATTCATTGCGGACCTTTTTGGCCGCCGGTGGGTCCACATCTCAATCGCTGCATCGTCTTCAGTTCGAATAAACGCTGGCATATAAACACCGAGTACCAGCGAATGCTCTTTTATGTTCCCGACTGGTCTGACGGGCGCGGTCGATCACGACGCAAAAAAAACTTGAGCGAGCTAGAAAACGCTGCAGGGCCTCCGTGCAGGGTCCATATCACATGAGCGAATGACATTTTAGCGAACGGCGACATTTGAGCGAATGGTCGTTTTAGCGAATAACGGGGGCGCGCGTTAACCCATCCGTCGCGCTGCGCTTTACGCCGCTTCGCGGCGACAGTCTACGGCAACTCATTGCAAAAATATGAACTCACTTGGCCCAACCGAAAACGCCGCTTCGCGGCGTCCGACTATTCGCTAAAGTGTCGTTCGATGAAACGTGGGCGTTCGCTAAAACGTCATTCGATCAAGTGAGTGCCTCCCCTCCGTGCACATAGAAAGGCATTGGGCGAAAGCAGTGTTGGGTGAAGTACATTTAAAAACTACTTTTAGTAAAATACAAAGTAAAATTAGCGGCTATAAATCCTTCGAGAGTTTTCATCTGTACCTTATTGAGTTTGTTAAGAATGAACCCTCGGCGACCTTCTTCCGAGTTTCAACGCTGCGGAAACGAGTCAAGACGAGTCTGGGACGGGAGGCACTCACTTGATCGAATGACGTTTTAGCGAACGCCCACGTTTCATCGAACGACACTTTAGCGAATAGTCGGACGCCGCGAAGCGGCGTTTTCGGGTGGGCCAAGTGAGTTCATATTTTTATAATGAGTTGCCGTAGACTGTCGCCGCGAAGCGGCGTAAAGCGCAGCGCGACGGATGGGTTAACGCGCGCCCCCGTTATTCGCTAAAACGACCATTCGCTCAAATGTCGCCGTTCGCTAAAATGTCATTCGCTCTTGTGATATGGACCCGTCTGGGACCGTCGCCCGCTTGTCGGGGCCTGCGCGAAACGAGTCCAGACGAGTCCGGGACCGTCGCCTGCGTGACGGGGCCTGCGGCAACAGGTCTCAACGCGTCCGTGACGTCAACGGGACGTGTGTGTGTGCGTGTGGGTTTGTGCGCTCAGGAAGGGGAGAGAGGCATGGCCTAACTGCGGAGGACCTTGGCTGCGTCGCACATGGCGGCGGACTTTGCTGCATCGCACTTGACGGCGGGTTGCTGCATCGCACTGGCTGCCCTGGCGGGGAGGGGTCCATATCACATGAGCGAATGACATGTTAGCGAACAGCGACATTTGAGCGAATGGTCGTTTTAGCGAATAACGGGGGCGCGCGTTAACCCATCCGCCGCGCTGCGCTTTACGCCGCTTCGCGGCGACAGTCTGCGGCGGCTCATTACAAAAATGTGAACCCATTTGGCCCACCCGAAAACGCCGCTTCGCGGCGTCCGACTATTCGCTAAAGTGTCATTCGGTCAAACGTGGGCGTTCACTAAAACGTCATTCGATCAAGTGAGTGCCTTCCGGCGGGGAGTGGGGCTGTTCCGTTGTTCTCTCGGATTTGACGACTGTATCACAACCATGTAATTAAACCGTTCGTTACGTTACCAAGTCTCCCACCTCCACTGGACCCCTGGGTTCTTCACTTCGGGGAATGGACGTCGTCTCGAGCCAGGAAGCCTCCGGACGTGCGGCCTAAACCCCGCCTCGAACAAGTTCCACAGATCCTTCAGTTTACTCAGATATGTTTATTTCGTGATTTCAATATTTCAGTTTGTCTTCAATCCCTCCCATAATCTTTGCAAATGAAACTTTCAGCATTATTTATTAGTTATTTATTTAAGTACCTCTAAAGGCCCCGGTGGGGCATTACATTGGGGGGGGGGGGGGGGGGGGGGGTCATCTTAAGAATCATTTAAATAAGTATGCAAAATCTATCAATACAAAAAAGTAGAAAAATATCACATCAAAGCTATTATAAGAAACTTAAATTCGCAATTGATAATTACTGGCACCAACACGCGCGCGCACACACAAAAAAAAAACGGTAAATTCAAGTCGATAATTACGCGAAAAATTCGTAATAGTCACGGTCATCAAGGCACACATTGAAAAGATAAGAAAAATAATCACGAGTTCTGCCGTCAAGTCAGCGATAAACATGCTTACAAAAGGCGAGTCATCTCGAGTTACGCAGCGGCGACATGAAGTGATCGGGATTTCTGGTCAGAGCTATTTCACTTGCCAACTCATTTCAGCCAGTTGGACCACAACGAAGGGTAGAAATTAAAAAAAAAAAAGTTAATCTTAGAGAAAGGAATAGAAACTTTGCTAGGGTGACCATGACGGGGGGAAATGCATGCAGGTGGTAGGACTTGATATTGACGAAATTCAAATGAGCTATAATTTTTTTTTTTTTTTAAAGGGACAACCTCGCAAGATACCTCCTCTGATTCAGTGCCAATAAACCGATGTAATCTTGAAGCTATGCAACACTTAAATATGAATTTGATTTCAGTCTTGTATAGATTCAAGACTGCCAATTAAATATTCTTGTTGCGGGTTCCAAATAACAGACGCATATTCCAACTTAGGTCTAATGAAAGTAGTGTGCGCAATGAGTAATTAGTTTCCACCGTTGCCATAAACAAATGCCTCCATACAAAACCTAATGTTTGAATGATTAGCACTCTCACTGGTGTATTTGGGCATGTGCATTCCAGGGGTAGGCACTCACTTGATCGAATGACGTTTTAGCGAACGCCCGCGTTTCATCGAATGACACTTTAGCGATTAGTCGGACGCCGCGAAGCGGCGTTTTCGGGTGGGCCAAATGGGTTCATATTTTTGTAATGAGTTGCCGCAGACTGTCGCCGCGAAGCGGCGTAAAGCGCAGCGCGACGGATGGGTTAACGCGCGCCCCCGTTATTCGCTAAAACGACCATTCGCTCAAATGTCGCCGTTCGCTAAAATGTCATTCGCTCTTGTGATATGGACCCCATTCCAGGAGAGGTTTGCAGTTAGGTGAACTCCTAAATATCTATATGAGCTTACCTTTTCTAGGTTTGAACTTATAATTTCGTAATCGCGTTGAAAGACAGGTAGTAAAGATCATGGTTTACGTTTTTTCTGCGTTTATTTTATGCGGCCTAATTAGCCACACTAATCAGTCTACATCAGAACCAAGTAAATATTTGTTGTCAGATGTTAAAGGCATTTAAGTTATGTAAATTTCATTTGTATTAGACAACGATACTTGATCATAATGTGGCACCTGGTACTGTGATGCGGAGAAATGAAAAAACTTTCGAGTCGAAGGAAAAGACGACAGAAGAGCATGTCTCAAGGCATTGAGACGTTCTCCTTTGATGTCTTCCTCTTCGACTTGAACGTTTCTCAACCTTTCCGTACCACAGCCTCAGGTGTAACATTATAATTAATTCTCCTCTCGTAATATGTTTGACCTCATCGCCTGCCCTGACTCAGCGAGAAAGCGAGAGTTCGAAAAGCCACGGCTGGACTTCTCCGCCCATGTTGCCGGTGGCGTCGCCGAGGCTTGTCGCACTACGGGTTAAGGCTCTGCTATACTCCGACGTCGAGCGCAGCGAACGTAGCGTGGCGCAGAACGTGAGCCTTTCATTGGCTGGCGAGCAGGAACTCGATATCTCTGACCAATCAGCATCTGCGTGCGTTGCGCTCTCGACGTCGAAGTATACCAGAGCCTTTAGTGTCCCGCGTCTCCAACCCATGCGGATCTTTGCCATTCAACACACTGTATACTGCAGTCGTGTTGCCCACACTGGAGCACTTCAGCGCAGTGAGATCCCATTCACAGCAGCAGCCCATTGCCCGGCAGAATCAAAGCTTCGCGCACTCTGCGCGCGCGCGATACCCTATTTCACCTTATGAAGTTATGATGTACAGCAGGAAAGGCTACAAACGCGAGCTCCTTGCTCTAGGGCAC